ATCGCAGTCGCAGTCCTTGACCGAAGCAATTAACGCGATGAACATACGGTTTTGGGTGGTCAGGGTTGTAATTCATAGAATTATAAGGGCTGCAAAGACGAAATCGTGTTTCTAATAAAACCGATCGTTCGATGATTCTCAGACGTTAATACAATCACTGACTTCCACCGAAATTATGGACTCGGTTGCTGGTTAAAGGCACTCCTATGTCATTAATTTTAAAATGATTCCCAGTACTAGCTATCAATGTCATAATATTACGACGGTATATTACAAACGATATAACGACCCAAACAAGCAATATTTACATTTGCTTAATTTAACGGCAATAATATGTCAGGACATCGATGCGATTTTCGTATATATAAAATACAATATGTATTGCATAGCACGGAAGAAGTGCCGATTATGTGACAATGCATATTTAATCAAATATTAGTGCATAAATATCTTGCTTATTTTGTAGTGCGTGGATTTACTTATAACTGTGTAGTGTATACTGTATAAAGATTGTTGTATACTACATACTAAAATAATACAAATAAAAAAAATTCGAACATTATGAACATAAACATTGATATTTAATTGATTAATCGAAAACAAATCATCGACATCAAAACATTGATGTATCGACCTAAAACATCGATGCTTTTTGCCCATCCCTAATTGAGACGCCTTTCTTTCAAAATACGCCCTGTATGTAGGTCCATTATCACCAACTTCTAATGCAGGCCCTGATAGTACGCATATCTAGGAATGCCAAAATGCAATTTGTCGACATCACATAGCTGAAAAATTTAATAATTTAATTCGTTCAACATTAATGAATCTCTTATGATAAGCGACTTTTAAATGTATGTGTTTATATTAGTAGAAATAATAATATGTAGGTGGTGAAAATTAATTTACCGAAAACTGTTTGGCAGAAGAATGAAAGGTCTGGGTAATTGAATACACCATCTACCTAAAAAAAAAAAAAAAAAAAACAATAATTTACATAGGTAGACCAACAATAATATAACAAAACAAAATAAACAAACAGTATATAAATAATTAGTTATAATTTATTATCGTTTACTAGCGCAACCATGACGACTCTTTTGCAGTTAGTTTATAATAATTAAACTTTTTGTTTGTTTATTTACTTATTTTTTTTAATGGTTCATACACGGTTCACAATTTATTCAAACAATATGATGCTTGCTTATACATCATATTAAACCTAGAAGAAAATATCACGTTCTAGTTAGTTTGTGTGCAAGTGTTTTATGTAAATGATGCTACTCGAACTAATCAAATGCGATCGAAAATCCAGACGGCATCAGTGAGAAAATGGTAGCCAAAGCAAACAAAACCGCGAGTGTTTGAATATTTAGTGAGCAATGATAGTGGTGGATTTGAGGGGACGGAGAGTCTAAAGCCCACGGTTAGACCACAATATTCGTGGCATAAAAACTATGAATAGCTCTGGCTGGTCTTTTTTTTCGTATTATGTAAATATTAAATATTGTTAACTGAAGAGTACATCAGATATATTGCATTGTACCTAATACTTTTACGCTAATACTAATTATAATAAATACCTTTACATTGATGAACGATTTTTTTTTTAAAAAATATGTGTTACAATAAATATTTACATTGATTTGAAAAATTATGGGTCTCCTCCCCTACCACCCCTTCTGAAAAAAAAACCGGGACCTGCTATAGCGCAATGATGATAATCGAAAAGATAACATCGCAAAGGGACGCGCGGAACGCTGCTTCGTCGGACGTCCGTTGCGGGAGGATGACGACAGTAAAAATATTACCAACGTCTCTAGTGCAGGGACCGTCTGCATGTTACAGTGCGGTGGGTTTTCGGTTGTGTCGTCCCTCCGAAGAGTGTTGTTTGAACATTGTAAACCGTTGTGTATGAACACGGACGGACAACACAGAACGGACTCGATATCATTTTTATGATCTATGTGGTCTTGAATTAATGGTCATGGTTAATGAAATCAATAGACATGTTTAAGGCAGTACGATTTTGCTCGTGATTTATTTTTTTGAAACCCTGGACGCGTAAACTGAAACATCAAAACTTTGACCGATAGCATTCACATTGTTCGATACGATACGTGTAATAAAATGAAAACTTTTTTCCTTCATTCTAGTCGAGGAATTAGACGGTTTCCAAATGGTTCGTATAGAACACCGTTTTTCAACATTTTTAACGTCGCGACCCCCTATATAGGTTAAAAATAAAATCGGTCAACTCACTCCCTTCCTTAGAATAAAAACCAACCTAAGCTTTTATCTGTATTACCGGTTACAAAATATATTTAATATCGTTAATCGTTGACGAAACAGAACACTAGTCTTGCTAGATGAACAAATTGAAGTTTATGGTGTTTTTATACTGCGAACTAAATTTTTTAGTAACGTAAGTAAAATACTGTTTTTCTACATCAGCGTTTAATTATTTCTGATAGAAGTGACACACCCCAAGTTGAGGAACGTCGGTGTTGAACACCACCCGCGACCAAATATGGTGTACGCATCAGACTTCCGTGCCGATTTATTAGTTGATTCACGATATACTCGTATACTAATATATATCTGATAATAATTATACTGTTACCGATACATTTATTAATTTAATCGATAAGGAAAGGGTGCCCGATGTTTACTCAACGGGTGTTAAATACACGTGAATTAAAAACACGGATCTGAATATATAAACCGGGTGTCTACCCCTCGTTAGTTAGTGTAGGACCCCGGGTAGCCGCGTAGATTTGAAAAACAGACGTTCATTTCGTGTGTTGCCGGCCGTCGGTGACGAAAGATCGTCGGGCGAGTACTCGCGGTAAAACGATTGTCGTGACGTGATGTTTAACTGTTGCGCGGTAAAAGGGGTACGTGGACATCGATCGTTTATGCAAATGAAATTCATGTTACGCGCACGTACACGATGTTTTCGATGCGAAAACGGCTGCACACGGCCCCCGCGGAAACGGTCGAAAAGGATGAATTCGCTCCCTCGGGGATTGCACGCGCGCAACCAAATAATACGGAACGGAACAAATATCTATGCACGGCGAGCTCACGGGTTTTTCGATTATTTTTTTTTTTCATCTTCCACTCTTCCGTTATTGCATCCTCGCCAATCATCGAGCCACGGCGAGGCTATCCGATTTCTTTGATCGCACTCGCTTCGAAGCCGAGAGTAACGTTCTAATAAATCTCAAGTTCTAATATCGGAATCAGCAGATCATCATTAGACACTCGTATTAGCGATCGAACCGAGCGTGAACATTAATATTACGCGCTGACATCAAACGGCAGCTGAATTAACTGTCGTTCTTGGAATATCTTTCGTAAACAGTTTTCAAAATATTCATTAACAACGGTCCAAACGATAACATTAACGAATTAATTATTGCGTTACCTTTGTAGTGTTGTACAACAATACATTGGAATGTGGCTTCATTATTCTCCTACTACTCCAGCTGGTCAACATCATAGTTTTCCGTAATTGTTTGCGTTGGACTTGATATGTTTCTAATCGATTTCGCTCCGACCCGTGGTGTGATTCTGTGCCACAGGGACAACGATTTCAAACACCAATGACTTAACACGCGACGCAGTGGTTGGATGTGAGTGCACTACGTCTTAGACGCTACGGTATACAGATAAAAATAATACACAGGATTCCGTTTCTTCAGAAAGTTTAGACAAGTGAGGGTAATGAAGGGCCTAACCGTCGATTAAAAGTACACTTAACAATCATGCAGTTCTGTTAGATATTATTATCGAAATCTTAGCATCTTCGTAAACGATACGTCATGTCCAACTGAGTTGTTGATGACGTGTTAGGAGCTGAAATTTGAAGCGTCTCAAATTCCCTATCGGCTGTTTTCCCCAAATAATTTTTCTTTATTTTAATTGATAAAATAAGTCTTGTTGACCTAATTAGTATTAATTTATATGGTACAGTTTATTGTTTTTTTTCACATTATGCAAAAAACAATGGATCGAAAAAAAAAACTAATTGATATTTAAAAATAGACGGAGTTTCTAAATCACAATAGTTTTTTCTTAGGTATTATTATATTACTAAAAGACAAAACTTATTTTTTTCTTTCGAGAATTTATAATGGGCATTAAATAAAATTCATAGAAAAAAAAAGTTAAATTATGTGTGTGTAATTTAATTAGGTCTTTGTAAAGATGAATCATCAGAAACCCACTACTAGTAACTCTAATCCTCATTATGTATCTACGAAATCAATGATTTTATTCGTTTTACAAAAATAAATAATTACACCAATCACATGAGTATAATTTTATAATTCAAGACAATTATACTTTAAACTTCACAATGGTAACTTTATGTGTTAGTTTAAAATTCAACTTTTTTATAATTTACATAATCGTTTTAAAAAATTATTCGTTCATTAATAATCTAAAAATCGTATATTTATTTAAAAAAAATATCAACCATTGGTTGTCGTTTAAAATCGAAGTTCAGTTTAGTATGAAAAGACAACGAAACGACACGCATAAAAATTATTCTAGTTTCAAAAAAAATGTATAATGCAATAATAAAATGAAAAACACAAATCATGAACATAATATTTGCATAGCGTTATGCTTGTTTAAATTACAAAAAAAAAAAGCACCCTTTTTAATTTACTTTCTTTTTGCTGATATTCATGTATAAATGATTTATGATTTGTATTTTAATAAAAACAACACATTAATAAATAATTAAAATCGTATAAACCATCCATACAAATAGTTTCGGAGTACGCGGTGCACTTGCACGTTTTTTTTTTCTTCGGACGAACTCGGAAACGTAGAAGTGTCATTGGATTTCGCACCTATACGATCCTCGTGTTGTGATTGCGTTGATTTCTTGTGCACAGGTGTGATGACGAAGAAAACGTTTCACGCGGTCGCGTGGTCCGATACCGTTGTTTTTCATCGATTAATCGCTTCATTCTTCTACCTTTCAGACCGCGGATCGCACACGGGCCCACCCTGTCTCCACCGAGATGGAGGCCCAAACAGTCGACGACAACCTGTTGCGGAACTGCACGGCCATGGTGCTGTCGGCGGAGTTCGAGCGGTCACCAAAGGAGCTGGAACGTTACAACGCCACCGCGCTCCTGGCGATCCTGGGCGAGACGCTGCGGGCGGCCGGGCTGACCATGTCCAAGCGCACGATGGCCAAGGACCGTTTGCACGACTGCGTGTACCCGATGCCGGAGCCGTCGCACAACATATCCACGTGGCACAAGCTCGTCTGGTCGACCGTCTTTAGCGCCATGCTAATCGTGGCCATCGCCGGCAACTCGATCGTCATATGGATTGTAACAGGTGAGTGGAAGCTTGTTACGCTTGTATGATTCCGGTTTGAAAAAAAAAAAAATTAGGAAATTCAATAATTCAACGGTTATACACACTACATAGACACGGGAAAACAGAACGTTCGTTTACATCGCATCTTACGTTACTGGCTTATCGTTTGTACGTGTAAAACACGTGCTAAAATTATTCATCCCTGGGTGGTCCATTGAAGGCGAAGCCTTCTCACACCCCCTACGTTATAACCGGTACAAAATGTTTTAGTTTTGCCATTCAATTGTAAATTTAACAATTTTACAATTAAATCGATATCACTGATGAACATCATTATTTTTCATCGATAAGCGATCAAATTGGCAAACGGTAAACAAAAACCAAATCCTTGATCGTATTGCTTCTGTATATATACATGTATAACGTTTGTGCATTTTACTTCCGTGGTATCAATGTATTACCAAAATTAAACTCTTATAAGTGTAAAATAATTCTTTTCATACAATATTTTTACTTCAAAATAGATGAGGGGGGGGGGGGTGATAAACATTCCCTGCCCCCTCCCCATCTTTGTGCCGGTGAATGTATTATCTTATGTTGTGATTTGCATTAGAGAAATAATTGTGAGAATAAATTTCACGCGTTGTCGATGTTAGAGAAGGTTTTTGGACATTATAGCCGATAGGAGGAATATACGGAAAGTTATTTTTTGGTCATATGGGACACGAAACGGGGAAGTGGAACGAGAATAAAAAGGTGAACTTTGAAACAAAGTCGATACGATTTTATTATTTTATAAAGTGAAATAAGGAGTTAAGGATCGAAAGATTACGTCTACGTCCGGCTGAGGCATCCAAACCTGGATAAATACAGTTACTGGGGTATCGTTACGAAGCTCCATGAGAAATTTTGCGTATAAAGACTGATGATCGTACAAAATAAATTGCTTCCATATAGATCCTCGTCCATATAGTTTTCAGCCTTGATGATGATATAATATGCTTCCGGGTTTGATCGAAAATGTGATTCTGCCTCCGCGCGCACATAGTATGTACGCTATTATTTTATTTTTAACGACCCTTTAATAAAAAGTTTTCGGTCAACAACATTGAATTTAGATTTCACGGTTATTAATAGAGCCCGAATTTTAATCAAAAGTGTATTATTTTTCACGTTCTAGAAACTATGCATTCCAAACTCTACGATTCAATTCACACGACAGATACCTTTAGAGTTGAAATTTTTATTTTCATATTGAACAAGTATTCCATTTTCAGAAAAATTTAATACATTTCACGAGTTTTTATTGTACAATTAATTTTGAATTGTATTGAATAATATTATAATTACTCAAAAATTAAAAGAAAAAAATAGTCGAGGAGAACAAGAAGAAGGATAAAGAAAACGGTAGAGATTAGATACGGATAGTGGTAGTGAGTTTGGATTATTACCTTTCTCCTTGTTTAAGGAAAGGTTTTCTAGGTAACAAATGTTCGAGAGCCGATCAATGCAACTGGACAATCTTATAAGCTAAACGAAATGGCACTTACTTGTTCCGTAGTAAATATTCAAGTTCCGATGAGCCGGTTACTTTTGACCGCTATAGATGTAAAGTGAGATTGAAATCAAGTAATACAGACATAGGGCTTAGAGGGCTGATACTGGACACTTTTTGACATTTACACAGGAAACAGTCAAATCATACACAGAAATAATCGAACGTAGAAGTTTTCTACAAGAACCTCCTCGAAGGGTCTCGGCGGTTGGTGAGCACCAATGACTATGAGGTCGGTACGCGCAAACTGCGGGCCTATGGTGAAGTGTTCCGGAAATGGTTTTGTACCCTTGTCATTAGATAAGTATAGTAAAATGGATCTTGGACTGGTCCTAAATTAAATACTGACTTGAATACTTAGAATGCCAGTGGTGTATTGATGCCTTTATTGTTTGGTATTGCATTGTCTGCGCGCTTATCGAAAAAAAATCGTTATTTATCGGTTTGTAACATGTTATATATTTGGATGGTATGCACCACTACAATTTATTTATGCCATGCTATTTAATAGAATAAAGCACATCAAAACAAAATTTTTATTATCTTTATTAATATAAATGGATTGTCCAATGTAATTGAACATAACTAATGCAATGCTAACACATCTCAACTGGTGAAGTAGCTGAACGTGGAATTTTAAAGTACTTTTAAATATACGAGTATATATGGTACTATTACTGTTCGAATGAATATTATAGCTCCTAAAACTGATACGGTTGTGCACTGATTACCGGCCAAACCCATCAACGTCGTGTCATCTTATCATGTTATCATTAGTTATTTTAATTCCATAGTCATGTAACTACTTTTGATTTCAAAATACAAGTGTTTTTCCAATTTTTTTGTAATTAAATAAGAAATGTAAATAATGGTTTTGTCGTTATTCAAAAACATATATATATATATATATTAATAACATTGTACATCACAGGATCAAACATATATTCAGACTTAAGTAGAATACTATTTAAAAATATTTGAAATAAGTATCTCAAATACTTAAACAAATTAATATTCCGAATAAGCATTTAAATAATTTATAAAATTAGTATTTTAAATATACTATTTAGATTATAATAAAAGTTTCCAAATACTTAACAAATATTAGTTTACTGAGATGTAATGGATTAAAAAAAATAATAGTAATTATAATAAAAAACGGTTGTGTTCAGTCTTGACGTGAAATTCATTGTACTTCGGATGCAAAGTATATAAAATACGCTATTATTTAAATAATAGACTGCCGCATTCAGTTATATGATGTTTTTAAGTACATAACACCGCTTTTATAAAAAACATAATTTTTTAAGATCGTGTTACAACACATCAAACATTTTCCGTAGTTGCCATATATTTATTTTTAGTATCTTCTACGATCTCTGTTATTTCGATGCAAATATACATGATAGCAAAACCATGGAGAAGGCAGTTTAATATTTTTTGTATACCGCTCAAAATAAATATCCTAACCGCCTATCGCTCGAATAAAAAATATAAAACATCTCATCTGATATAATTATTCTTGATCCCGGTCCAGTATACCGAAATATAACAATGGATTTTTAAATGCTATTCAAATAAGTGGATGAGTATAGAGGAGTATGGTATGGGTATTTTTATATCAAAAATATAAAATTTTAAATTAAAATAAAGTGCTATAAAAATAACGGCGAAGTATTATTGAACATGTCTAAGAATGTCAATATAAATGAAAATAAAATTTCTAGCGTGAATTATTGTGTTTTTTAAAATAAATGAAAATATCTAAGCACGACTGTTTTCGATTTAAAATATTATCATCAGGTATAAAAAGCACACTAAAACTTTTATATAAAATTCGTATGTATATTATTAAAAATATTTTAACAATTTTATCGAAATATTTATGTGTACTTCGTTAGTAAATAAAATAGTGTTATACTCGTAGTCGGTAAGAGTTTTTTATAATTATTTTGGTATACTACCAATAATCACGTTAAACGTTATCTAACCGTGTTAGTAATACGCAAGTTTGCATTCGTTAACTCGCATCTTCGTTCTATTACAGCCAACGGTATCTAAGTATTTTATACTCGCAGCCAAAACAGTTATTAAAATAAGTTTATTAATTATGGTGTTTTGATATCACTAACATCTTGAACGTAAATATTAATATAGTCAATCTGTGCTCACGCGACAAAAGCGCATAGTCGCAGCAATTTATACATATATATTATTATGTGGTTGCAGGTGAAATCGATTAGATGGAAAATCAAATAAACTTCTTATTCGGTGCTTAGTAAATTAATTTATAAGCGCACTTCAAAATGAACCGAATGTGTGAGAAAATGAAAATTTAATTATTTCTCACGTTCTCCGTATTCAATTGACAGTTACCCGAGCAAACAATTCATCAACTTTATGATGTTAACATTTATCTGCTCTAATTAATGCGCGCATAGTCTGTTATATAAATACATCAGTTGACGATGATATTTATACAAACCGTAGGATCGTAAATAAAAAAAGAACAATTAGTTCTTTCTCCCGTTCAACATTGCTTTCTGACATGGATCTGTATCTCCATCCGTCCCCTATTCTCTCTAGTACCAAGATCTAGACCTCACACACTATATAATCGTATACTTCTTACGACTTTTCTTTGATTATACCCTTCCATTCGTGATACCTATCACTAAATTCATCTTTTTCCCAGCACATTTTACGATGACGTAATTTATGGCATCCATCACATTATTTTCACTTGCCTCCTCTCTTACCCATATCTGTCCACCTTCTTTCCAAACTTTATTCCCAAGGTTACCCCTCCTTCAATACGATTCTACTTTTAAATTCCTGTTCTTCAACTGTCATCTCCCACATTGCTCTTTTCATACTTAATTCTGGATTCCTTACTTAATAAACAAAAATAATATTTTTACTTAAATATACTTTTATATTCCATTTTACGATTAATAGCTAAGCTGTGATGTCGAAGGATATATTCAATAAAAAATAAAAATAAAAAACAATACAATTCAATATAAGAAGCTAGAACCAACTAAAATTACATGACATAATGCAATCTTTGTATACTTACTTTACAAAACTAGAAAAATTGTACTAATGACACAGTCGGTATTTATAAATAATTTTCATTAGATACATTTATACATTTTAGATGATTTAACATCCAAGATTGATTTCGATGCGTATTAACAGGGAAAGAAAATTGTATTTATTTGATCGACAGAAAAAAATTGTATTGATATAGGTAATCTAATTGACTGAAAAAGTTTAGCGTCGATTATAAGTTTTCAAGCGTTTGCCGTACTTAGGTAACTTAGGAAATACAATCAATATACTTAATATACTTACCAATGAAAAACACTATTCATAAATTATCTAATATTTTATTAATTTCAAATGGATAACAAATATAATAACTTTGAATGTTTTGAACCCAACGTAATACTAGTTTTAT